CGCACCAGGAGGAGCTAGCGGCGGGCCTCTCAGCTGCTGCATGCACTTCAAGGTCACGCTTCCCCGCGTGTACTCGCTGTTGTTGAGAGAGCAGCAGCAACAGCACCCGAGAGAGCAGGCGGGAATAAATTTTTTTGATGTGTACTGTAGACCGCCATATCCCATATACAGAAAGAGAGGGTTCCGGCAGGGCCACAAGTAAGACGGGCGGTAACGTCTTGCTGCTGGTGGCGTTCACATGTACAGCAGTAGTGGACGTCACCCACCTCCCTCTAGACTATGGAGTATTCTACGTTGCGCGGCCTTCCTGCTTTTTTTTTCCTGACTTTGTTTTGGACCGCACCGACCGCCTGTCGCGCCTACATACTATAATACCGTTATCCTTCTTCCTTCTTCCCTCTTCCATCCCTACTGCTGCTGCGTGTACGTCTTTAGACTAACCGACGTGCTGCGTGTGTATGTGATTCGTTTGGGGCGTGTGTGAGGAGGCGAGATATAGTCTCCGACGTCCACGCCGTGTAGGACGTCACACACACCCGTTCCGGCTTCTTGTTGTGCAGGTAGGTGTACAAAAAAAGGGCTCGTTCTAAATACATACGGCGAGACGCAAGAAGAATTCAGATACGTTTGTTCCTCCCATGGGGGGTACGGTACTGCTGCTCACTCTAAAACAACGGCAGCATGTCTGCCAGCCAGGTACCACAGCATGCACACGGCAAAGGTAGGGACTTACCTGCGCCCGGTAGGAGCGCCGACGCGGACAGTCGATTCTTTGGGAGCTTGGACGTGCGGTGTGCGGTGTCCCCGATAATGCCATGCCGTGTTGATTGTCTTTCCGTTGTTCTCGGAATTAATTCGCACGGTTGGTTACAGTAATTCCGGACCGTTCTTCGGAACGGAGTCCGTTACTCCACACGAACTCTGAACACTCTCCGTGATGTAATGCAAAGCAGAAACTAAGTTAAAATCAACCCAACTAAGGCGAATATTAGTACAGAAGAACTAAGCGAGGCATCTACATTTATTTTGTACATTAAATTAACAGAAACTATAACTGTATTTTCCGCAGTTCTTCTTTATTAAAATACACGTAGTTCCTTCGTATAATAAAAATAATGATGAATATATATTTATCATAATAATTAATAAATATTTTATCATAAAAATATTAATTAAATAATTAATATATTCATAAAATTAAATATATATATATAAATAAATTAAATAAATATATTTTATAAAAAATATATATTATTATATATATATATATAAATATATAAATATATAATATATATATAAAATATATATAAAATATGTATAAATAAATTTAATAAATATATATACAAAATATATAGAAATAAATATTATTACAAATAAGTATTTATAAATTATAAATATATTTTTATTATAATAATATTGTTTTCAGGAAAAAACTACATTATTATTACATAATATCATATAATGTTTCTCATGGTAGCTCATGGTGCCCCACCGTCGTACATGCGTGAGGTTTCTCATGGTGCCCCATGGCCAGCATAAAATTGGGGCCCATGGCCACCCATAGTGCACTTCGTCGTCACCCATGGTGACCCTCGGTATCCCACGGTACCCCATGGGGTTTCGAAGATAAGTTTGAAAAAAAAAAAATCCGACAGGGAAACGCGTAATATTATAGGAAATAAATAAAATAGTTAGTAATTTAATTATACCCCGTGGGTTCTCATGAGGCGCCATGGGGAGACACGACTTCCTCATGGACCCCCATGGGCTACCAATTTTATTGAAATTAACAAAATAAACTGGTAGACTCCACGGTGACCCATGGTGCCCCATGGGGCCTCATGGGGCGCCATCAGGCCTCATGAGGCCCATAGCTTTTATTTTATTTCCACTTTTTTCGCTTTTTATCTTTTGTTTCTCATGGGATCTCATGGTGCCCCATAGCACGCCATGAGGGCTCATGGCGAACGATAAAAAAATATATTTACGGACCCCATGGCAAATCTCATGGGGCACCATGGGGTGGTTTTCCATGGTACCCCATGAGATATCTCATGAGACTATCGATTTTTATCGTGGTCCATGGGGACCCATGGCTCCCATGGACCCCCATGACAATACATGAGATTTCTCATGGGGTCCCATGGGATTCTCATTGGACTTCATGAGGACCCATGGGGGCCCATGGGTTCCCATGAGATTGTTCTCATGGGGGCCCATGGGACCCATGGACCCCCATGGGTCACCATAATATCGACCTCATGGGGTTCCATGGGGGCCCATGGGCGCCCATGAGATATCTCACGGCGTTACACAAAAATGTCAAACCCCCCTTTTTTTTCTCTCTTTTTTTTCTCTCTTTTTCTGTGCCAGATGGCCTTGTCTCTGCTTGCGTTTTGAAGTGCCAAGATTGAACCAAGGGGGTGTACCTCTTTCTCTCTGGCCCGTGATAGTTACTCCTGGTCTCAGTTGATACCTCGCATAGCGCGCAGAGGGAGTGGAGGACTCCAGAATATCTATCTATCTGTCATTGATTTCTATTGACTTGCGGACCCCTCGGGGCCAGTTTATTTGAGTGTACCCGTTTAGGGTAAGTTAACCTGTGACCACGGGAATCGACCGCGTCGAGTGAGTGTTGGATGAGTACGGACATACATACGAAGGTACTGGGTAGAGAGAGATCGGAACGGTTTTGAATGTGAAGACAACAACAACAAACAACAACAATATTGCGGATCTTGAAAAAATCTCTGTCTTTGTTCAGGTAGGATGTTGCCCCAATGATGTCAGCGGAGAAAAGAGAGAAGCAAAGAACAGTGTTCATGAAAGTATTTCCGTGACTGCGGCCATACAATCTAGATTGTGCCGACCGTGATCCAGTCGCCCACAGGGGAGAAGATCGAACGCGAAGAACTTGCCACACCAGCCCCTCCGCACACACCAGCACGGCCCCACCAGCAGCCACACCTCATCATTCCTCCTCTTACCCGGTTACAACAGCAGCAACAAGGACTACTTCTTGCGCAGGTACGTTCTCTACTAACACGCGACTGACTGGGGAATGAAGTTGTTGGGGGCTGACTGTTGCAGCTGGTTGTTGCATTTCATTGTTTTTTGTACGTTCGGGCGGAATGAGGTCTTCTTGTTTTTCCCGTAAAGGGTCGCGACAACGCCGGGCGATGAGGGTGGAAGCCTGTACGTACAGTCGTCTAGTCAACTGCAGCGATCCGTCAGCTTGGTGGAAAGTACCGATGACGCTTCTCGTAGTTCGTAGTGGCCATCTTTAGTCTACCACCGTCTTGTAAGCCATCCATGTATCGCAGGAGAATTACATCCGTGATCGATCTCTGCAAGCGCAGTCTGACCTATCTACAGGAAGGCGACATGGTTATATTTTGCGCATTTAGCAAAGCAGTGTAGATAGACCCGGAGGGCGCACCGTAGGACTCACCGATACAGTAAACCTAGCCTAGGCTACCGTACCGACCGTTCGAAACCTGATG